AAAAAACACACACACACACACACACACACACACACACACACACACACACACAGAGATTAGGTGCTCAAATAGATGATAACATATTCCACAATCATATATACTGTATAGCTGGTTATAGTTTCATGAAGCTGCAGCAGGTTAATGGACTATAGCTACTAGAGGTGTAACGATACACTAGGGTCACGATACGATATGTATCTCGATACGTACGTAACGAGACGATACATATCGCGATACAGACAGAAAGAGAGATATTGTAAATTACGTGCTATGATAAATTTGTTATATCATGCACAAATTAATGTTTTTTTAATTATTAATAATTATTTGTAAATTTGTAATTAAAAAGATGCAATACCCTACAATTTTAGAATCTATTTTGATAGTGAGTGCATAAATAATAGTATATACCTACAAATTTCTATTAGCACGCATTCACATGCAATTTGTCATAAAACAGTGAGTTTCGAAATATTTATTTTGGTCTACTAGTATGTCATTTGAAGTACGATGAATGGTCAAATTCTAATGTTATTATACTGTTATAATAATATGTATTCCAATACATTCACAGCACAAACGTATTACATGAGTATGTCAAAGCCATATAAATATATAGTAAACAGTCAGTTACTATATAGATCTAGATATTTCTATGGCTGAAACACACCAAGACGTTCTGAGTGTGCTCTAGACTGACCCTTAATCAACAGCTCCACTCTCATGTGCGCCATACACAGTGCCAGTAGTACTACAGTACGTGTTCACTAACAACACACACCAGTCAATCAGCACTCTTGATTGTTTTGCGGTAACAATTTTGGTCGCAATACAAGCGCGCCCCATATATTGATACAGATTCTCCCCCTAAAATTTAATTTAAAGGGAATAACATGTGCTTTATTAAATAATTTAGTTTGCCTTATTCACTGTTTAACATCTGTATCGCGATACAGACGATCCGTACCGCTTCCCGTGTCATGAGCTGCTGTATTGCAATTCACCGATGTATCGGTGAATCCTTACACCACCAATAGATACACACTCCATTAAAACCAGTTTCTTAGCATCTATAGTACAGAGATGGATACAATAATGTAACCCAGTCGAGTAGTGGTAGAATGTAACCCGACCGAGTAGCGGTACAATGTAACCCAACTGAGTAGCGGTACAATGTAACCCAACTGAGTATTGGTACATTGTAATCCAACCGAGTAATGGTATAATAGCTGCGTTTACACGAGGAGTTTAGCTGCATTCACACGCTAAAATATACGTGGCTTGCTTAGCCACAGCTTGCTTAGCCGCGATTGCTCCGGCTTGCTTAGCGCGAAATCATATTCCGCGCCAACTAAGCCGCGTATATTCGGCACCATGCTGGCCGCGTATTGATTGTCGTGTGAACGCATTGTTCGTGTTGTTCGCGCATTGTGAACGCATTGTTCGTGTTGTTCGCGCATTGTGAACGCATTGTTCGTGTGAATTGCGAAACTGTAGCGCTCTAACCTAGACTGCTACCCGTTCCCTGCACGACGTTAGGGTAGCGTGTGGAACTGTCGACCGGGTACCAGTCTATATTATACCGAGCTAGCTAAGCCTCAAATCATGTGTATCTCGTGTGAACGCATTTTAACCGGACTTAGCACCAACTAAGTACGGTACCAGCTAAGCCGTGTACATACGTGTGAACGCAGCTATAATAACCCAACTGAGTAGTGGTACAATGTAACCCAACTCGGAAGTGGTACAATGTAACCCAACTGAGTAGTGGTACAATGTAACCCAACTGAGTAGTGGTACAATGTAACCCAACCGAGTAGTGGTACAATGTAACCCAACGGGTTTCCGGCCAGGATGAAATAGAACAACAGGGGATGGGAAGGGGGCGAACTAGGGGGTCCGGCGGGCGGGGGTGTTTTTTTAGCCGTATCCACTAATTAAGTGCGTAAATCGGCCAACCAACCCATAGAGCGGTATTTGGGGTTCTTGTATACTATAAGATAGGCCGAGTCGCTGTACATTTAAGTGTTGGGTGTGGACAGGTTGACTGTTTGTACTTGTGTAATTGTCTGCAGTGCAATGCGTGGTAGCGCAGGGTTCTCACCTTACGGTTGCGGCAAGACAGGGCGCGCGCGGCGCCGTTTGGGACAAACCCCCCCCTGTTTGAATCGTTGCGGGCCCCGTTTAAATTACCCTGCCCCCCGTTAAATTCCACACAAATAAAAGTTTGCCAGCGCGGGAATCGATCGTCAAGAATTGCCGCCGTTCAACCAGGACATCCGACGCGTCTATTTTACCGCTACCAGCGCTTGGCACTGAGACAGTACCACAATGGTTAACCTCGACAATGCACTTACCTTTGCTGTATCACGCACTCGGCTATCTTATATTACAAGAACCCAATACCGCTGCTATGCGTTCGGTGGCGATTTTACGCGCATTAATTAGTCCGTACGGAAAAATAGCACGCCCCGGACCCCCTAGTTTCCCCGCCTCGCCCACGCTCGCGCCTAGTTTCTCCCTCCCCCTCGCCCCTCCCCCCTACCCCTCGCCCCTGTTTGAATTCAACTGGGGAGAACCCTGGTACGGTTCCTTAAAATATACACGCGTCGGGTGTCCTTGTCTATATTTGAATTGCTTGAGGACTGATGTCGGTGAACTTTATGTGGGGAACTTTAAATCGGTGCGGGCAACGATTGAAACAGGGGGGGCGGGAGTTTTCCAAAACCGGGGCGCGCGCGCCCCGTTTGCGCAAACGTAGGCGAGAACGCCTGGAACCCATACTGGAGTGGCTACAATTGTAACCCAACTGTAGTAGGGTACAGATGTAAACCCAACTCAGTAGTGCTGATAAAACCCAACAATGTAACCTCAACTGAGTAAGCGAGCCGGTAGCAATTTGTAACCACTCAGTAGTGTACAATGTAACGCCAACTGAGTAGTACAATGTACCCACCATCTCAGAAGTAGTGGTAGCGTTTTATTGGGGACCCTAAGGTTCTCTATCTGGGGAACCCCCCTCCTAACACGCCGAACACACTAACCCTAATCCTAACCCTAACCATATCAAAATAGTGACGAGGGTACGTTCGGTATACCCAGGGTACGTTCCGGATATACCAGGGTACGCGTTCCGCAGTCCCCTGCGGAGCTATAGCCGTATGAGCTATGAGTATAGCCTCACTGTCAGATATGTCATATGATCCGCATCAGCCTAAAACAACAGACTGAAAACAGTGGCAGCTAGTGGCATTGCCGACCGGTCCGCGCAACGGGTTGAAGCACCATAACACAAACAACTCAATCTTTTATATAACTTACAGCGGTGACTCTGCGTCGTGGAAACAATGAATCGGCGACTTATCTCACAAATCGAACAATGAATGGACGAGAATCGCGGTTAGTCTGCAAGTTCAACTGCGAACGCGGATGCAGAGAAGATACGACAGCGGCAGTGCACTTGACTTGGGACGTCTCTCCTCGCTCACTGTATTATATCAGATGTTGACCTGAACGATGAGGATGGGTGGTTTAATAAAAGCGTCCGCTGTTGGCGAAAGTGTCATATTGTCCCACTATAAACTCACACGTATGTCTCCAGTTCAGATTACCCATCGCTAATGACAGCCGTCAAGCCTGCGTTCAAAACGCACCATGAGAAATGGCGGAGTTCGCGTGGACGACTAAATCGTATCTACCTAAATACTCATGAAACGTTAGTATGGACTAACAGACGCCTTAAGTATTATTCATATATAGTATTAATATACTATCCATATATCACACATCTGTGCAGAGATTGGACAACTAAATATACGGTAACAATCATTCGGGAATAATATAGTAATGGTACTAGACAGGAGGCCCCCTGCGCGCAAGCAGATTGAGAACCGGAGGAGCGACGAAGAATACAGTCGAGATTTATTCTGGTCATGTTATATCCGGATGCTGTCAGTAGAATCGTAATCAAGAAATGCTTGGCGGCCTGCGTGAAAAAAACGTCAAAAACAGGCAACGAAACCAAGGGTGACAAGAAGAGGAAGAAGAGAAGATGGGCGAAGAAGAAAAGAGAGAGAGAGAAAATGGGGGAAGACGGGAGAGAAGGAGAGAGAAAGCTATTTTTCTCTCCCCCTCCTTCTTTTTTCCCTCCGCCTCCTCCCTCCGTCTAATGCGTCTGATCCGACCACGTGACAACTGCGGCGCCGAGCACATGATCACGTGCCGCGTTGTAAATTCGTCGACTGTTTTGAGTTTTTACATCCGGGTACAATACGAAGAGGCGATCAGCTTACGAGGGGCCGTTGGCGTCGTCGAATAATTATTCCTTGTCGTGATTTTGGTTGTTGTGTATTGTTGTTGTTGTTGTTGTTGTTGTTGTTGTTGTGTTGTATTGTGTTGTTATTGTGTTGCATTGTGTTGTTGTTGTGTTTGTTGTTTACCTTCGTGTCGTCGTCGTTCGTCGTCGTAAATTTTTGTTATTGTTTATTTGTTTGCGTGGTTGTTGTTGTTGTTGTTGTTGTTGTTGTATGTTATTGTATTTGTTTTTGTTGTTGTTGTTTTCGTTGCCGTCCGTCGTCATCGTTGTTTGTCGCTTGGTGTCGTCGTCGTCGTTCGTGGCGTCGTTCGTTGTTTTGTCGTTGTTGTCGTCGTTGTTTGTTGTTGTCTGTCGCGTCGTCGTGTTGTGTTG